GACTAGATGACCTACAACGTCCCTTCCAAATCTGTTAATAAGTTCATCTTGGATAGAAATTGATCCAGCAGACCAGCCGCTGGGGTGGAAGATCAGGCTGAAGGATTTGATCTATACATTCTAGAGCCATATCCGAGCCCTACCTTTCCGGTTATTGTTTTGGCAAACCTTGCTTATTGGACTGGTTACCGCTTTGCAAACTTCGATTCCTGGACTGCTGGCCCCGGTTACGGGTTTGCAAACCTTGCTTGCTGGATTACTCACCGCCAGAGGCTGTCGAAGGTGCGTGTGAGAACTTTGCTCCACGACTTGCAGTAAACGTGGGGACATTTGGGGGGTGGGAGCAAAGTTGGAGCAATAAACTGTGTACTCTGTTCTCTGGCTGCGTTGCTTTCATGCTATGTCCCAGGTCATTGCACGCGCCCATGCGATGACCTATGGCAAGGGATCAGAAGGAACATAGCAACCATGTTCTTTTCTTGTTAAGTCCCGGTACGGTTCTATTCATGCAAGAAGTTGCAATTAAGGGAATACCTTCTGAGGCTGAGTTTCTACCCCCCACTCCCCCCCTCCTCCCCCCCCCCAGCTTAACTGTTGTTCTGAAGCATTGTGCCGAGAGGAAAGCAGCCAGTGAATGGTCCTCTGGCTTAAAGAGACGGACCACTTAACCAAGCCTGCCCTTCATTTGTTCTGTTCGAATAAAATCTAATTTGCTTTTTTTTTTTTTTTCCTCCGTGAAGCAAAGGTTTTCCGCTTCTGATGTCTGTAAGGAAGATGAGCCCATAATCTCACAAACGTTGCTCTTCAGAAAATATAGCGTACCGCGAGACACCAATTATAACTTAGACAGAGGTCAAAGTTGAAGAGGGGGGCTAGAAGTTGCTACCATAATCAAGACCCAAGTAAATGACTTCGTCTACCTTCCATATACGCTCCTAAGAGACAAGTGCCTCAAAGTTCAAGGGCCGCTTTTGTTTTTCACAGAAAACAACTCTTGCCTTCGGTTGGTTCAAATAAGTTGGTGCCAAACGTTAGATGGTGGGTTGAGGACTTCACTCCAAAAATAAGTAGGAACAAACCCTACTTTTTGCAGGGTCAATTTTGGCATGTTGAGGAGTGCAGTAGGAGTGTCATGCCCCTGTTGGAATCTGATTTGGAAGGGGAGGCTGAGCAGCTGACAAGGAGTGGGAGTGTGGCTCTGTTGGCTGTGGAAGAAATTGGAGAAGGGCAAAGTCTGGCTGGGCAGGGCAGGGGAGAGGTAGAGCAAGGCAGAGGGGATTCAGAGGAAGACCCAGGCCCACCCCCTCTTCATCCTAGGGCACGCAGGGAGGAACGGAGAAGGGAGCAAAGTGAGTTGCGTGGCTTATGGGGAGGAAAGGGCCCTGATTCCCTTCATTAGCTGCAGCTGGGAACACAGTGTTTAAGAAGGGAAGCTGCGCGTAGCAACCTGTTGGAAGCAAATCGTGAATTATGTGGTGGAGGCTTATCTGGGTTCCTGGCATCTTCTCAACTGTGTGTGTTTTGCTGGTCTTTCAAGTCTGCAATTCCTTCTCCTGCCCTGTCAAGTTAACTACTGCAGCGTGGTTTGTTTGGATTTTTAGTTACTGTTTGTATGTACTTTGTTTTCGGACTGAATTTCCTCCACTTAAAGACTGTTTCTGGGAGAGCCTTTTCTCCAGCCGAAGGTAACCTGGACACTGGGGGCAAAGTTGGAGATAATAAAGGGACTCTTCTTGCTTATTTGACTGTGTTGCCTTTGTACCACGCCCCGGGTCATCACAAGGAGCCTGCAAACCCAGCAAGCCGTAAGATACCCGTTTTGTCTTTTGATACCTCCCCAAAATGCAATTAAACGGCTGGAAAAAAATTGACCTCATTCTGATTATGGGAAGGGCCCTCATAATTGGCAGGCGAATATTTTTGGTACCTCTTTCCTAAGAGATGATTTAGCCACGGCTCGTTGAGTAAACCATGCTGGATGGGATTTACATCCTGGTTTCCATCCATAGCTAGTCCTCGACTTACAACGGTTCATTTAGCGACCATCCAAGGTTACAACGGCACTGGAAAAAAAGTGACTTAGGACCATTTCTTTTTTCACACTTACGACCTTTGTATCAGTCCCACGGTCATGTGATCAAAATTCAGACACTTGGCAATTGGTTTGTACTTACGACCGTTGCTGCGTCCCAAGGTCATGTGATTTCCCCTTTTGCGACCTCCTCACTTCACAACTCTCTTTCACTTAGCAACAGAAATGTTGGGCTCAATTGTACTAGTAAGCCGAAGACTACAACCTACGCCTCCACTTGTGTTGACTTCACACGCTGAGCAAAAACTGAACGAGTAGAACAATAGCTTAGTAGGTTGGATGAATCAAACTACAACATCAAATCATTGTATAATAGCAATAGCCCTTAGACTTATATACAGCTTCACAGTGCTTTCAAGCCCTCTCTAAATGATTTACAGAGGCAGCCTCTTGCCCCCAACAATCCGGGTTCCATTTTACCCATCTTGGAAGGATGGAAGGCTGAGTCGACCTTGAACCAGTCAGGATTGAATTGCTGGCTTTGGGCAGAAGTAGCCTGCAGTACTGCATTCTAACCACCTGAAAAAGGAAAGGGAGGGAGGGAGGAAGGAAAAAAGCAATAGCACTTAGAATTATATACCGCTTCACAGTGCTTTACAGCCTTCTCTTAAGTGGTTTACAGAGTCAGCCTCTTGCCCCCGACAATCCAGGTCCTCATTTTACCAACCTCAGAAGGATGGAAGGCTGAGTCAACCTTGAGCCGGTGAGGATCGAACTGCTGCTGTGGGCAGAGTTAGACTGCATTCTAACCACTGTGAAGGAAAGGGAGGGGAAGGGAAGGGAAAGAAAGGGAAGGAAGGAAAGGAAGGAAGGAAGGAAGGAAGGAAGGAAGGAAGGAAGGAAGGAAGGAAGATAGCATTAGCACTTAGACTTATATACTGCTTCACAGTGCTTTACAGCCTTCTCTTAAGTGGTTTACAGAGTCAGCCTCTTGCCCTCAAACAATCTGGGTCCTCATTTTATGCACCTCAGAAGAATGGAAGGCTGAATCTACCTTGAGCCGGTCAGGATTGAACTGATGGCAGTGAGCAGTGAGTTAGTCCTGCAGTACTGCATTCTAGGGGAACGTGGCTCAGTGGCTAAGATACTGAGCTTGTCAATCAGAAAAGTCAGCAGTTCGGCGGTTTGAATCCCTAGCGCTGCATAACGGAGTGAGCTCCCGTTACTTGTCCCAGCTTCTGCCAATCTAGCAGTTCGAAAGGATGTAAAAAATGCAAATAGAAAAATAGAGACCATTTTGGTGGGAAGGTTCCAGGCGTTCCATGCGCCTTCGGCGTTTAGTCCTGCCGACAACATGACCATGGAGATGTCTTTGGACAGCGCTGGCTCTTTGGCTTTGTAATGGAGGTGAGCACTGCCCACTAGAGCCGGAAACGACTAGCACACCTGTGCGAGTGGACCCTTTCGCTTACTGCATTTTAACCACTGCGCCACCATGGCTCTTTCCACTGTTTTACTCTACAAGTAACTTTACTTTACAGTACCGGTCCATAGCATGCCAAAAACTGGGCCCTACAAACAAGCGAAGGCCCATCCAGTAGTATCGCAGGCAGTATGCAAAACTTTTACAGTCTGTATAAAAAAGCTCTCCTCGGAACCGGGCCCTGGTGCCCCAAAGGATGATGGGGGATGCTAGTTTAGAGAGTCTCCACTGTTTCAGATTCACCTGATTTTAGTCCTGGTTAGAAACAGGCTGTTCCACTAGGAATGTTCTCCTTTGCAGACCAAGCTTCTCAGCTTAAATAGCTAAATCAAGCAAGCATTTCTTAATCACCTTCAAGAATAAAATCCTATTAGCGTCGGAGAGATGTTCTGAGGGTTAGTATCAAAAATCCCCTAAACCTAAGTCCTCCTAATTAAGCAAAGTATATGATGTCAGCTACTTTGCAGAAAGTCTACTTTCACACAAGAGTGGGCTTCAAAAAAATTTAGCTACCGGTTCTCTGCCTGGTTGGTGGGTAGGCGTGGCCAGGCTGGGCATGGCCTAGTTGGCCTCCTTCACCACCCTGGCCTGGGAGCGAAAATAGGCCTGGGGAGGGGGGGGGCTTCCGGGACCTTCTGGAATCTTCTGGAACTTCTAGTAGGCCCATGTTTTGCCCTCCGCAGGTTCTGGAGGCTTTCCTTGAACTCTGGGAGGGCGAAAATGACCGCCACGGGCTCCAGAGGCTCTCCAGAGGTAGAAACAGGTCCGTTTCCAGCCCTCCAGAACTTCAGCGAGGCCTGTTTATTGCCCTCCCTCAGCCTCCACACAGGCCCTGCACTTACATGCGATCTAAAATAGGCCACATGGGGACTCCGGGGGGTGGGGGAGGGGCCAGCCAGAGATGGGATTTGCCAGTTCGCAGACCTGGCCATAAAATTAGATACCAAACCGGTGCAAACCCAGGACCCATTGCGCAAGTTGAGCCTGCCACTCCCATACGTTGAGCTGTGTGTGTGTGGTGAGCTGCCGCTCACCTCTTGTGTAACCCTGGTTTCCTTCTTCCAGAGGTGGCATTCAGCCGTTTCGGACCAGTTCTGGAGAATTGGTAGCGGGAATTTTGACTAGTTCGGAGAACCGGCAAATAATAACACCTCTGTTTGGCCCCACCCACCTGCCATCACCCCTGCTCTATTCCCTTGTTTTTTAGCTGAGCTGATTGGCATGGCAGTGTGGATTGCCACGCCTCAGCTGAGCTTAAACACCAAGCTCAGCTTACCAGCGTTGACAGAGGTCGGTCTCTGAGCCCTCTGCACGGGCGTGAATCATGCAGTGCATAGAATCGCGCATAGAACTGGTAAGAAACCATTTGGAAACCCACCACTGCCCTCTTCCCCCTGGTTGGGCCGCCAAGCCGCCCAACGTTCTTCTTACCCAGCCAACATAGAACCGAACCTTAAGTTTCCCCTACAATTTAACTCATTCTAGGCTCACCAGTCTGCGAGGTGTCCGGCGGGTGGCGTGGACTCCAGCCAAGCTGCCTGGCTGAAAATAACCCCCTCCAGCAAGGGTTCCACCCGACATCCCTTAGGATCCCAGGTGGAACTAAGAAGCCAGCCAAGCGGTGGTAACAATCTCTTAGAACTTGAGAATGTCTGTCCGGGTTCCAGTGCTTACAGAGAAACATCCGAGGTGGAGCCGGACAGCAGAGGTGCTCTACATTGTGAGTTATATCCACCCGCCTGCTTTTCCGTTGCCGATCCCGCCAGTGAAAGCAGCCCGTTCTCTGCCCGAGCTCCATACCTTCTTCAGCACCATGCCAAGCAACACGCCACGAATGTAACCTTTGCTGGGAAGCCTCTTCAGCGGAGTTCCTACCACAACTTTCCAGGGTTTCCTTCACCATGTGCGGGTGAAAAGTGCCAAGCCGGCCTTGAAAACGTCTCTGGATTCCATCACCCGTACTTCTACAGGTGTACTGTTTCGGAGCCTCATGGCCAATGCGGGAATCCCTTAGAGGACAAGTGCCTTTCGTACGCTCACAACGGTGGCCAGAAAAAGCCGGTAAACGGAGCCGTTGCATCTCGCAAACCTTGGCACGTTTATACAGAAGAGATCCCTAACAACTATGCTTTTGATTACTCAGGGTAAAGATAATGTTTTATGAATACTGTTTTAAGAAGGACTCGGTCAAATGGTCTGTTGACACCTCCTTTGTTTTATTGGTCCACCCTATTAAACCAACGGTCTTCAAACTTGGCCAGTTTAAGGCTTGTGGACTTCAATGCCCAGAATTCCTGAGCTAACATAACTGGAGGAGGAATTCTGGGAGTTGAAGTCCGCAAGTCTTAAAGCTGTCGAGTTTGAAGACCCCCCTGCATTAAACCAAGGTCAAAGTCAGGGGTCCAAGTAATAGAGCCATACTAAGCAAAACTCCGAGGCAGCGTAGATTCCTCAAAAGAATAGCTTTATTGGATATATCATTTCGGCACGTATCTGGTGAAAACCGACTCTGAATTTTCCCACGGTTTTCCCCTAATTAAAAGTGAAAGTTTCCCCCCCCAACCCCAAACAATCAGTCACATGTAAACAAGAGGTTGAGACTCTAGAAAGAGTGCAGAGAAGAGCAACAAAGATGATTAGGGGACTGAAGGCTAAAACATATAAAGAACGGTTGCTGGAACTGGGTATGTCTAAAGAAGTGTGAGGTGTGACATGATAACAGTCTTCCAATATCTCAAGGGCTGCCCCAAAGAAGAGGGAGTCAAGCTATTCTCCAAAGCACCTGAGGGCAGGACAAGAAGTGACAGATGGAAACTAATCAAGGAGAGAAGCAACTTAGAACTAAGGATAAACTTCTTGACAGTTAGAACAACCTAACCAGTGAAACAATTTGCCTCCATGAGTTGTAAATGCTGCAACACTGGAAGTTTTTAAGAAGAGATTGGATAACCCTTTGTCTGAAATGGTATAGGGTTTCCTGCCTAAGCAGGGGTTGGACTAGAAGACCTCCAAGGTCCCATGGTCCAATCAAGGGGCTGTCTGATAGTCTGGTGACATCACTACTCCTTCCTCCGGCCAGGGGTGAGAACGTCCTTGTTTCCCAAGAGAACGTATTTTGTTTTGACTGCACAACCTCAGCTATCTCTAATCCCCCCTCCCTATCCCTCAGCTCCAGGGTGGTAGCCCTGAAGCTCCAAAATGGCTTCAACCAGGCCAGCTTCAGGGTTGACAGTCCGTTTAGCCAAGGTTTTCTGGACAAGGTCAATATATCGAAGACTTTCTGGAAAAAACATAGAATCTGAGAGGAGGAATGGATGGGAGGTGGCCATGCAGGTGTTTGGGGAACAGTTGTGGGTGTCAAGGCAGGAAGAGGAAATGGATGGAGACATCTCAGGTAGCTTCAGGAGGTTGACTATGGGAGCGGTGCTCCCTGAGTAATGATCCCAGGAAGATGTTGGGACAGGGGTCTCCAACCCGAGCAACTTTAAGACTTGTGGACTTCCCTGTCCCCAAATTCCCCAACCAACATGACTGGCAGGAGAATTCTGGGAGTTAAAAAGTCCATAGGTCTTAAAGGCCAAGAATCCAAAGATAGACTGGAAGCTAGAGAAGAGGTGGCAGGAGAGGACTTGTCTGGTGACAACATCATCGCCGTCGCGTTATTTGGGTTGCAGGGAACCTCATTATAAGCTGCTCACCAAAGTCGGTGCCTTGTCCTTGCTTCTTGTGTCTCTTCTCCTGGCACCCCTCTTTACTTGCCCTTGTTCCTTGAGGTCCTCACAGCCACTCGCTCCTCACCCGGTGAAGAGAAGCCTCTCACCAACGGCGCAGCTCATCCAGGCAGCAGAACGGCACCATCGAGAAATCTCTCAGCTGGCAAATGACCATCTTGCTAGGAATCATTTGGCTAGCATGTTTCCCCCCATAATCCAGAGAGGGGAGAGCGACTCACAGCTCCACCTGGAGAGCGGCGAAGAGGCCCAGCCCGTTCTCAGCCGCAGCAATTCGGAGGGCTACTTGCTTCAGATGGAAAAGCAAAAAGAAAGGAAAGGAAAGAAAGAGAACCGGAAGGTGAGCAAGGAGAGGAACCCGGGGCGCGGGGGGAAGGGTGTCGATCTTCCTCTTAGTAGTGTTGCAGAACCATAAGGACTTTGTGGATTGGCAAGAGCTTCAGAGGTGGTCTTCAGCCGGTTCCAGCCGGTTTTGACCCGTTCTGGAGAACCGGTAGCGGGAATTTTGAGCAGTTTGCAGAACCGGCCAATCCCGCCTCTGACTGGCCCCGCCCCCATGTCTTCTCTGCCTCTCATTGAGTCCCAGCTGATCGGCTGGGTCTCCTTTGGTTGCCCTGCCCAGGAGAACGGAGCTGGAAAGCAGGTTAGTGGGATGGGGACGGAATGGGGATTTTGTAGTAATCTTACCTTGCCACGCCCACCAAGCCACACCCCACAAGCCATGCCATGCCCACCAAGCTACCAAGCCACACCCACAGAACACCATGCCTGTCAACCCATGCCCACAGCTGATCGGCTGGGTCTTCTTTGGTTGCCCTGCACAGGAGAACAGAGCTGGAAAGCAGGTTAGTGGGATGGGGAGGGAATGGGGATTTTGCAGTATCCTTCCCCTGCCACGACCACCAAGCCATGCCACCCCCACCAAGCCACACCCACAGAACCCATAGTAAAAAATATTGGAAGAGCTTCAGATTCTCAGTGGTTTTGCAGAATTAACAGTGAACATAAATATATTTCTCTCCCTTCATAGACCAGGCAGAGTGGCGTGTGGAAAAGACCTTGGCAGACAGGGCAAAGAATGCTACCCAGGGAATGATCAGATAAGAGGTGGGGTAGCCCTCAACTGTGTAACAAGTTGAGAAAGAGGCTCAGAAGGCGCCCTCTGCTGTTGCTCAGGCTGCAAAGCAGGCAGCGGGAGCTTCGTACTTGCAGGCTTGTAAGAATCTGTGACTGTAGCCTTATAACGTGAAAGCCAGTGGAGTGAGTTTGGGCCAGTCCCTCCCGCTCAGCTGAACCTATCTCACAAGGTTGTGGTTGTAGGAAAAATAGGAAGAAGACATTATGTGGGATATGTTCATCTCCTTGAGTTATTTGTAAAAAAATAATAAAGGTGAGAAACAGAGGATATCAGAGCAATAGTAATAGCAATAGCATGTAAACTTATATATCACTTTACAGTGCTTTTACAGCCCTCTCTAAGCAGTTTACAGAGTCAGTATAATGCCCCTAACAATCTGGGTCCTCATTTTACCCACCTCGGAAGGATGGAAGGCTGAGTCAACCTTGAGCCTGGTGAGATTCGAACTGCCAAATTGCAAGCAGCTGGCTGCAGCAGAAGTAGCTTGCAGTACTGCACTCTTACCACTGCACCACCAAGTTTTCCTCAGTCACAGAGAACTTTTGATTACTGGAAAAACAAAGGCAATTTCTTTAATAGTAACAATTTCCTTTTTGCAGCTCGAGAAGAGAAGGCAAGGGTGTGAATTTCCACTTAGGGTAGAAAAACTAGTTTCCCATTATGTCTAAGTGGTCCTTGATCTTGGTTCTTCCTGTGATGTTCCTCTCCCAGTATTTTGTGTGTGTGTGTGTGTGTGTGTGTGTGTGTGTGTGTGTGTGTGTGTGGTTCTCGTCCTATAGTTTGATTCTTTCTCAGCCTCCCGTTGTTTCTTTCAAAACTTGACGTTACCTCTCTGTTCAGGGCTCTAGGGCAAAAGGTTACACGAAGATGGATGTGAATCTTGGAGGCCTGGGACCTGACTATGAAACCATCAAAGAAAAAGTAAGAGGAATGGCATTTATGAATATCTTCTTCTTGAGCGGCGTTTGTCCTGTAGAACGTTACTGTCAGCGTTCCAATGGAACTCCCCATTTCCTTCACCACTCAGAAACAAAGTCCATCCAAGTAAGAATTCATTGAAGAAGTCATACTGGCACATCTTGGAAAACCCGAATCGGAGAGTTCCCGGTTTTCCCCTCCCAATTGAAAGTCACAAACCCATCCCCTGCACCCACCAGTCCATCACGTGGCCCGATCAACCATCTTCCCAACTGGAAACCTTCCTCCAGACACTCCTTCCCAGGTGTGGGGTAACTTGTCCTTGACTTTATGAGAAGAATGTTGTTGAGCAGAGGTCTCCAAACTTGGCACCTTTAAGACGTGTGGACTTCAACTCCCAGAATTCTCTAGCCAGCTATGCTGGCTGGGGAAATCTGGGAGTTGAAGTCCACACGTCTTAAAGTTGCCAAGTTTGGGGACCCTTCTGGTTGAGTCTAATCTTCTAACCACTCTATGTAATCCCCACCCCACCCCGCTCCCAAATTCCCAGGCACTAAAATGTGGCAGCTTCGAAACTTCCAAGTAAAATATGGCTTCCAAAGCTGACAGTAACAAATGGAGAGTTTTGAGTGAGTTACCAAATTAAAGTCAGCAAGAAGGGAACGGACAAAGAATCTCTAGTACTGATAGCACTGATGATGCTACTTGGTTTGGCAAGGAAATGTCTGCTAGAAAACCATCAAGCTTAGAAGGCACCAAGGACGCCACAATCTCTAATACTATTAGTGGAGAATGGTACAGTGTTGGTTCAATCAATGTAGTTAATTGGCCAGAAATTCAGAAATGATGAAAAAGAGAGGACATCTTCAGAGTTCACCCAACTACTAATTTAGGTAGATCTAAGGCAACCTGGTATTCCTGAGATATTTTAGACTTCAGATCTCATTAGTCCTATTCAGCATAGCCAAAGATAAAGGATCGTCAGAGATATAGTCCAAAGCATCTGGAAGTTGCACGTGCCTGGATGAAGGATGGATCCATTCCTGTGTGATGCCCCAGAGTGTAACACTAACGTAATAAAATCCCAAATGTAAATAAATGTCCTTAAATCTTCCAGCTTGGCCCCACTGTTCAATAATTCTCAGTTGGAGATAAAACATATTCAAAAACAGTCTTCAAAAGAAAGCAATACAGCCCAAACTTAATGAGCAGATAGAGGTAAAATAAAAACCTAAAACAAACTACAGTGAAGGAAATTCCACAACGGACCAGGATAAGTAATTACCAACTTCAAGGAGATCATAAGGCACAGTCTGTTGGAAGGACACCAGCCAAGATAACTTCAAAATAAAACACACTTTGCTTCTGGCAATGCTGTGTTTTAACCTTATTCTCCCCAGCTGCAACCAATGAGGGGGATCATGGCCGCTTCCTCTCTCGTAAGACAAGTTGTTGCCTTCTCCATTCCTCCCTCCCAAGGATGAAGAGGGGATGGGCCTGGTTCTTCCTCTGACTGCCCAGCCGGCCTCTTCCCTTCCCCAGCCTCCTCCACAACCTCTGGAGCCACACCTTCACTCCCTGTCTTGTCCCTCAGAGTCCGACTCTTACAAGGGCATGACATCCTGGGTCCATTCACAACAGAGTTTCTACTCTTGTTGATTAGTTGAGTTACCTTGCTCAAAAACATAGCTGACCAAGGAGACAGTCAGCGGAAGAGACCTATTATTTCAGAACTTGCTCTTGGGGAACTTTCCAGTATGGAGGTAACATTGCTGGGAAGATTAAGAGTTTATTTAATGCTCCTGGAGAAGTCTGTCTTAACAGACCTTAAGAGATTAACAGAGTTGGAAGGGGACTTGTAGGTCATCTAGTCCAACTTCCTGCCCAAGCAGGAGACCCTACACCATTTCTGACAGATGGCAGTCCAATCTCTTCTTGAAAGCTTCCAGGGATGAAGCTCTCACAACTTCTGAAGGCAAGCTCCCTTGGGTTCTGTCCTTCACGACCAAAATAAATAAATCAATGTCCAGAAAACTTCCGGCTGCATTCAGAGAAGATCAGGCTTCCAAGGTGTAGCTTTTTTGTTTTTTTAAGCCTTGGTAGAACATATCCATTAGTCTGTGTTCTCCTGCAGAGAATTCCAATTGCAGATCAGGATGCACAAATCCATTCCCTTCTAGTGTGTCCAAGGGTGCGTTGCTTTAATGCAGCTGAGCCGTTCTGGGGAATTTAGATGGTCCTGGCTTTATCACAAAAGGATTTTTTTTTTTTTAAAAAAAGGAAGTCAACCCAACCGAGAAAATCTAGTTGTGAAGAGCTGAATGTGCATCATTGCCTTGTTAGGAAACACCGGACATTAATCTGGTCCAAAAAAGAAGATGAAACTGATTAGCTGAGAAAGGATGGAGAAAAGCCCTTTCCCCAAATCTTCCATTTTTATTTTGATTCCTTTGACTTTGAATGAATGGAAACATGCACAGTGTTTCCCATGGGACTGGCACAACAGGGTCAGCACTGTACATCACTCAACTTACACTCAATTGTTTTTAGCAAATCACGGTGGTGATTTTGTAGCACCCAATCCTGCTGGAGAGCAGGTTAGGAGAAACTACCATGTTTCTCCGAAAATAAGACCCTGTCTTATATTTTGGGGGGCCACCAAAAAAAGGCACCAGGTCTTATTTTCAGGGGAGGTTATCCACTGACTAACCTCACTTGTGTGCATCGCCCCTGGCATCCTTTTCGCTGTCAGAGGCCTTCAGGAAATTCTTCTTCTGTGGCTGGCGAGGCTTTCTTGAAGGCCTCTGCAGCCGATAACAGAGCTCTGGATCGATCCGGAGCTTTGTTATCAGCTACAGAGGCCTTCGGGAAAGCCTTGCCAGCCTTGCCAGCTGCAGAAGAAATGGGCCGGTGAGGCAGGTGTCGGGGTGTGCGAGGCCTGGCTACAACTGTCCAAAGGTAAGTAGTAGGGCAGCTCCCCAGTCCCCCCCATCCCCACCCTAGCCATGCACTTTGGAGTGGGTGGGATCTTAATTAGGGCTTATTTTGGGGGGTAGGGCATATATTGGGCATGTGAAAATCAAGCTAGGGCTTACTTTCAGGGTTGGTCATATTTTCAGGGAAACAGGGTAGGTAAAATCTCCAACTTACCAATAGAACAGACGATTTGTAGCTCAGGGTTGAACAGTGAGGTCCTTAGTGCTCTCTGGGCTTGGTTGTTTTTCTTACAGACGTTACAGAACCCAACTGCGTAATATCATCAGTGCTAGAAGGGAGTAGGGTTTGTTGGTGGTGGTTTGATGTTTATTGCTATTGTTTATTGCTTGATTGTTTGTCTGAGGTGGTTGTTCCCCAGTTGGGGAAGTGTTTCCTGTTTGATTGTTGGTCTTGTGTTAATTTTGGTGTTAATTTCTGCTGATCCGGGTGTGTGATTGAGTGGTGTATTGGCCTAGAGGTGGAGCTCATGCCTCACAATCAGGAGGCTGTGAGTTCGATCCTAGGTAGAGGCAGTTATTTCTCTCTCTGGGCACACTGAGAATATATCTGCTGAATATAACTCCACACTGGCAACAGGAGTGGCATCCGGCCAATAATCACTCCACTCCATTCAGTTACCCAGGCTCCACCCCGCAAGGGATTCTGGGGGTCATTAAAAGATAATGATGATGATCTGGGTGTTGATTGCTGGTGAAGAAGATGCTTTGGTCTTTTTAGACTCTACCCCAATCGAAAGACCTACCAACTCAGACAATCAAGCTAACAATAAACAACAGCCTAATTAAGGGATCATCATATTCACACGCTACCTTTTCCTGTAAGAAGTTCAGATGAGATAAGCTCATAAAATCATGCCTTGTTTTGTTAGCGAGAGTTTCGAATCCTCCCCTCCATCATCCACGTTTCCTTCTAAAAGTCATCCGTGAACTTTTCCACTGGCCTGAGATAGGTGGCCATGCGAATCGAACAGCTTTTTAAATAAATAAAATACATTAAGTGGCTCATTTTCCAGCTTAGCCCTGAACTCCTCCTCTTTGTCCTTTTTGACAGTCAGAAAAGATAAAACACCAAAAAGTATATGCCAAGCAAGTAAATGAACAGAATCTGAAGAATATGTCAAGCGCGCGGAAACCTCAGTCGAAAACGGAGAACAAATCAAACGTGTCAAGGCAAAAGGTAGGAACTAGCAAGACAAGGTGGCCCAGCAGGAGACTGTCTGGAACAGTGTTTCTCAGCCTTGGTAACCTCAAAGATGTGTGGACGTCCGTCTCCCGGAATTCCCCAACAGCATCCTGGGAGTTGAAGTCCACCCTTCTTCAAGTTGCCAGTTGAGAAACAAGGATCAAGACCGAACTTACTCTTGGATAATCAGAAAGCGCCTGGTTCTCTGTCTTGACATGAATCATCTGGGTTTTGGGTTGCCTTCATCATCAGTGTTGGTGATCCAAACGTTAGTTCCTCCCTCGTGATAGAATCGAATAGAATAACAGAATTGGAAGGGACTTTGGAGGCCTTCTAGTCCAACCCCCTGCTTAGGAGGGAATCCTTATGCTATTTCAGACAGATGGTTATCCAATCTCTTCTTAAAAATGTCCAGTGTTGGAGCATTTAAAACTTCTGGAGGCAAGTTGTTCTACTGATTAATTGTTCTGTCAGGAAATTTCTCCTTAGTTCCAAGTTGCTTCATTCATTTCCACCCATTGCTTCTTGTCCTGCCCTCAAATGCTTTGGAGTATAGCTTGACTCCTTTGTGGCAGCCCCTCAGATATTGGAACCTTGCTATCATGTCACCCCTAGTCCTTCTTCGCATCAAACTACACATACCCAGTTCCAGCAACCGTTCTTTGATTGTTTAACCTATGTAGTTGAAATCCTAAGGGGGCAAGATTGCAAAAATCTTGCCAGATTTTCATTTATGACAGAAAGGGGCATATATGTACCTTCAAACATGATTTCATAACAAGTCTACCACTACCAAAAGATTGCCAATTGGATAACGATTCACAAAGAAGAAGTCCTACCAAATGGATGAGTGGAGGTTTGTATCCCCTACAGTGATCTCATCTGTGGGAAAAGGAAGAGAAGTGATCAACTTTCCCTTGCTGGGAATATGGAGAATCAAATAATTTTGTTATTCCTTCTTTATATGCGCTTTGTCTCTATTTACTTCCTGGTTTTATGTCTTCTTAAAAATTTCCCCTCTCCTCCTTTTTTTTCTACCCATGGTCCTATTTCAAGTTGAAATCAAGAATTTCATCTTGATGAAAGGAAATCTTTTGAGGGTTGTTGTGTAGATAGGGGAAGCGAAACTTCGAACTGAACCTGGCCGCAGCCATCTTTCTGTTCCTCAGTTGCCACACAGAGGGGGAAGGGAGGAAGGAGGTTGGAATGCCTACCTAGACAAAACAGAGAGCTTTCTCTTGAGAATCAAGGTCATCTCTACTGGCAACAGATAAGGTTGAGGAAGGAGTGCCTAAAGAGCCTGCGAATTGACCCAATTGGTCAACATGACCTGTGACGTTTGGGGATGGGGGGGTTATTTCCTAATTTAATTATACTGAAACTGGCGGGAAAGATTTAGATTTGGTTTTCTGTTGACGCTGTGCTGATCCGATGCACTCATTAAAGATGACCTTTGAGAAGGAGCCAAGTCTCAGAGTTCTGCTTTGCTTGGGTCGGTTAGTCGGAACCTGGACAGGGAGAAATGGTGGGGGTGCTGATGTGAAGGAACCTACCGCTTCTTCCTTGGAAATGGTCTCTTTCTAATCCGGGTTTAGAGGTTTCTCACGACCAGTCGTTGTGGCCTTCTTTCCTTGCTTCTGCAGGCCCTGGAATATGCCAAGACAATTCCCAAGCCTCGGCTTTTTGTCTCGAGATCGTCGGAGCAAGAGACCAAAGAGGAGAAAAACCTGGCACGGACTTTAAACGGAGAGAACCTCCCTCCCATTTCCTCTCTGGAGTCCCTGCAAAATAGGCACGAGAAGGAGAAGCGGGTGGTGGCTGCATTCAAAACGCTCCATATTGTCTGATGGGGCCGTTGCCATCGACCTCCGCTGGTCTGCCGCGCTCTTCCTGCTCCCCCCGTTTTCTTCTTGCCGTGTTCACCCGTGGTCCGAAAGGACGAGCGTCGCCACGATGAGTTTCATGAACTTCTGCGAGATCTGGGATGTTTTCTCCTTGCATTGCATTCAGCCTTACTTATTTTTGTTTCATTTTATTGTTGATAAATTAAAACATTGGGTGTACGATGATCTAGAAGTGATCTTTCTGTCTTTCCTTTCCCTCCATTCCAGGGCATCCTTTTCCAAAAAAAAACCCTTTTGATGGTTTTAAGGACCGGTGTCATGTCCCTGTCGGAGTCTGAATCCGAGGAGCGAGAGGAACAGCTGACAGGGAGTGGGATTGTGGCTCCGTTGGCTATGGAGGAAACTGGGGAAGGGAAAAGTCCAGTTGGGCAGAGCAGGGGAGAGGGCATTCAGAGGAAGACCCAGGCCCACCTTCTCTTTATCCTAGGGCATGCAGGGTGGAACAGAGAAGGGAGCAGCAGGGGTTGTGTGGCTTACGGGGGAGGAGAGGGCCCTGATTCCCTTCATGAGGCACACCTTGGGAGAGAGTTTAAAAGAGATGCAAACTGAGAGCAGTGTCTGCTGGGAACAAACGTGAGTTTATCTTGTGTTGACTTTGGTTATCTGTGTTCCTGGTGTCTTCCCAACCATATTGAATTACTGCCATTCCTTCACGTCTGGAATTCCTTCTGCTGACCTGCCAAACTAATTACTTCCTTTTTGCCTTGATTGGACTTATAGTTACAGTTTGTATTGACCACATTTTGGACTCGATTCTCTGCAGCCAAAGGCTGTTCCTGGGAGAGTTTTTCTCCAGCCCAGAAGGTAACCAGGACATTGGGGGCAAAGTTAGAGCTAATAAAGGGACTCCTACATATTGTCTGACTGTGTTGCCTTTGTGCCACGCCCCAGGTCAGCACAGGTTAAGTGAATCCCTGAAGCTGTTAAGTTAGCAACCCAGTTGTTAAGTGAATCTGGTTTCCCCCTTGACCTGGATTGTCGGAAGGTTGCAAAAGGGGGATTACTTAACTCTGTGACACTGCGAACTTCCTAAATAGGAGTCTGCCAAGCATCTGAATTTTGGTCATATAACTGTAGAGATGTTGCAATGGTCATAAGCGTGAAAAAGGGTCATATGCCCCTTTTTCCCAGTGCCATTGTAACTTTGGTCACTGTTGTAAATCGAGGATTAGCTGGGTTGCATTAAGAGAAGTTTAGTACATTGCCCTGCCCAGCTTACAACCAGGTAGACATTGATAAAATTCCTCGGCACATGCTTGGTTTGGCCGTTAGTTTAGAGCAGGGGTGTCATACTCAAGGCCTGGAGGCTGGATTCGTCCAAGGGGTGCTTAGATCTAGCCACCCTGGAAACAGCGAAGGACTGGCCCGCAGTGCCTCTGCCAGCGAAAATGGAGCTCAGGAGGGCCCTCCTGAGCTCCGTTTTCACTGGCAGAGGGTTGCAGGAGGCCATCACTGCCAAAAACAGAGCTCGGGAGTCATTTCCGCTGGCAGAGTGTTGCAGGAGGCTTTTGCAGCCAAAAACGGAGCTTGGGAGTCCATTTTCTCTGGCAGAGCACTCAGGCCGCCACAGGTGCCCCCAACACAAGTGATGTCGAGCTGGCCACGCCCACCCTGGCCACGCCCACCCCCAATATCAAACAAAACCCTGACGCGGCCCTCAGTGAAATTGGACACCCTTGATTGAGACCGTTTCCAACGAGATTGCGCACTAAAAACCATCTTCAGTGCTGATTCTGTCGGGAGAAATAGCAACGAAGCGACCGAAAAGGCACGACTTTGAAGTATTTCTGATGAGCTTTGTTGTTTTCCATTCTTTTTCCTGCAAAGCTCGCGAACCTATTTTTTTTTTTTTAATACTACCCTTTCGAGGGATATCATCAAAGAACTGTTTATTCATTGCCTAATATTTTAATTAGATTATATTCTCCATTTAACCCATTACTTGCACGGATATCTCTTTGATGAGCAACCCTGGGCCTGTTTAGCCCCAGATGCTGGAAATAATGAATGCTGGACCTTTTGGATTTAATGAGTATTTCTACCTTCCTAATCTGACTCTTTGTACCTATTATTATTATTATTTCCCCGAGCTATAGAATTGAGGTAATTGAAGGACTCTCCTACCATCATATATTAAAGGGTCTAAATTAGCATTTCTTTCTCTGATATTTTTTTAAAAAATATGCAAGTGGCTTTTTTTTTTTTTTGCTTTGATCAGAGGATTTAGTTGAAGGAGCCTCAGTCTCCTGAAAATGAGCTGATGGGCTTATTATTAGGATAAAATGCAAATATAGCCATGTGTTTGACAATGCTTAATGTCTTAATTGCTCACCTCCAGGATCAGATATGCTTTCTGTATCAACCTGGAGGGCAGGACAATCTTTAAAAAGTTAGGGGTAACGCTTTTTACTTGAAGAGGAATTTGTGTTAGAAACCTTCGGATCCAGACTGCTAAACTTTTGATATATTTTATATTACTCCCTCCAAAAATTGGATCAGGATTTAAATCCTATGCGTTTTATGATTTTCCTGCCAGGATAGGTTGCGGGGAAAAGGATAATCTGAAAATATTGGAATATAAAGGTGTGGAATTTTGGTTAGATGAGGGTGACCCTGACTTGAGAGTAATGGACCGAGAGACAAATTCCACAATTGGAGCAGAGCTAGAACAAACATTAGAAATATGAATTAAATGGATAACAGTGGATTGATCTAAAAATACGACACTCTCAGCTGCATAATTAAGCCTAATCTGTATTTTTCTCTCCAGACAAACCAGATGGAATTGAATCCTCTTTTCAATGTCTCTTCAGACCAGAACTTAGTATTGATGTTGCCATCATTTGTAGAACTTAGAAAAATGCAAACAGGACTTTACAATATTATGACGTTCTACGTGGTGGCACAGTGGTTAAAATACAGTATGTCAGTCTAACTCTGCCCACAGCCAGGACTGGTGCTCAAAGTTGACTCAGCCTTCCATCTTTCCAAGGTCAGTAAAATGAGGACCCAGATTGTTGGGGGCAACAATCTGTTAAACCTCTTAGAGAGGCTGGAAAGGACTGTGAAGCAGTATATAAGTCTAAGTGCTGTTGCTATTTTCCTTTCCTTCCTTCTTTCTTTCCTTCCTTCCTTCCTTTCCTTCCCAGTGGTCAGAATGCAGTATTGCAAACTAACTCTGCCCAGAGCAGCAGTTTGATTCTGCCCAGCTCACAGTTGACTCAGCCTTCCATCCTTCCATGGTGGGTAAAATGAGGAGCCAGATGGTTGGGGGCAATTGGGTAAACCCCTTAGAGAGGGCTGGAAAGCACCGTGAAGCAGTATATAAGTCTGAGTCCTATTGCTATTTTCCTTCCTTCCTTCCTTCCTTCCTTCCTTCCTTCCTTCCTTCCTTCCTTCCTTCCTTCCTTTCCTTTTCCTTTTCCTTTTCCTTTTCCTTTTCCTTTTCCTTTTCCTTCCCAGTGGTTAGAATGCAGACTAACTCTGCCCACCGCAGCAGTTCAAACTTGACGGGCTCAAGGTTGACTCAGCCTTCCATCCTTCTGAGGTCAGTAAAATGAGGACCCAGATTGTTGGGGGCAAGAGGCTGTTAAACCGCTTAGAGAGGGCCGTGAAGCACTGTGAAGCGGTATATAAGTGCTATTGCTACATCTACCACGGAGGCCTCCAGAGTTTTCCTCTTCCTAAAATTGATGGGTGACTGTCGAAACTTGTGGAAGACACCATGTTGAAAAAGTTTGACAGAAGAATGAGGAAGTACGACACGAAGAGACGAGGTCTATCAAGAAGGAGTTCGTGGGAACACAAACTGGGTGTAAAAACAAGTAGCTTCTTTCTCTATCCCCTCTTAGTAATTTAATAGCTTCTGCTGGCCATGGAATTCTGGGAGTTGAAGTCCATACATCTTGAAAGTTGGTGACAATCAGAAACATTGCCCTGTAGTAAGGAAAAGTTTGTTCGGGTACAATATGGACAGTGTGGTAAGGGATCGAAGTGTTTCACAACAACTCGATACAGACAATATCTGTTTACTTCCATTGAACCAGTGTTGAGGCCAGCATCACACCAAGCCAAAGGCTGACCGGGAACACTGGGTGTCGTTCTTGTGCATGCATACCTTCAAGTCAAGTGGATTCCTGAACAAGTCTGTGGAGTTTATTTGGTAAGGTTTTGGGGAAGTCTTCCCCCTTGAGCTAAGAGAAAGAAACCAGCCAAAGGCCCAAACGGCAGACTTCATACCTGTGGAGAAACTAGAATTCACAGCCTCCTGGAGGTTTGTAGCCTGGTGCCTCAATCACTACATCTGACTGGCTCTCAGGTTTACGTTCATTCCAGGAATCGATGCCTTAAAGCACCATACATTCTTGCTCCAAAGCCCAAAGCACTTCTTCCAATAAATTTTTAAAGCATGCGCCAACTTTAGAGTGTAGGGACCTGAACTGAAGGCGTAATACAGTTTAATTCAGTGTTTTTTTCCTCGCTAGAAATAGTCTGCAAGTTAGCTAATCATAACCGATCAGTTGGCAAGGTCATCAGATTTGTAACTGGCTGCATCCTCATCTCTTCCATACACAAGGGGGGAGGAGGAAGAGGGAGGAGGAGGAGGGAGAAGAAGAGGAGGAGGGGGGGGAAGAAGGGGAAGAGAAGAAGAGGAAGAAGAAGAAGAAGAAAAGGAGAAGAAGAGGAGGAGGGGAAGAAGGGGAAGAGAAGAGGAAGAAGAAAAGACGAAGAGGAGGAGGAGGAGGGGAAGAGAAGAAGAGGAAGAAGAAGAAAAGGAGAAGAAGAGGGGAAGAAGGGGAAGAGGAGGAGGTGGAGGAAGAAGAAAAGGAGAAGAAAAGTAGAAGAGGAGGGGAAGAGAAGAAGAGGCGGAAGAAGAAGAAAGGGAGAAGAAGAGGAGGAGGAGGGGAAGAAGGGGAAGAGAAGAGGAAGAAGAAGAAAAGGAGAAGAAGAGGAGGAGGGGAAGAAGGGGAAGAGAAGAGGAGGAGGTGGAGAAAGAAAGAGAAAAAAGGAAGAAA